GAGCAGGGTGGAGAGGGGGATGATGAAAAGGGAGGCAGTGAGAATCAGATATCCAGACTTGGGGTGTAAGAACTTAGGTAATGTAGGAAGATATATTAGACAGACTCTATATAACATTTTGCAATTAGGATTGGTCTCCAAAATTGCCTGAACTAGATGGTTGGCAGGATCTAGGGGTGGGGCTACAGGCCAGATTCAAACACAGATCAAATCCCTTCTCTAGTTAGTTATCATTTCTTCTTTTTGCAGTGTAATTTAAGCAAGTGCATCCTTTGGATTTCTTATCTCTTTCTTCCTGCCTTTGTGCACAAATTAGGTAATTCAGTTGAGACACAAGTAGACTTTCTAGCTAAATTATTTTCAATATTAACATACGTTCAGTGTCCGAGGGCCATCACAACAACACACAAGAATTATTAACATAGCAAGGTATGAAGAAAGAAAGGTCTTGGCTCCTTCTACTTGCTTAATAATTGAGGGTGAAATTCTGCTCATTACTGTACAATAAAATCTCTGTAGTCCTCATTTACCAGAAAACACACAGAGGTCATATTTCATTATTCTCTTTGACTAATGCTCACAAATTATCTATAATTTAATGCATCTATGATACCTTAAAATTTTAATCAGCACCATGAAATGATACAATCACCATGACTGAGCTACAGTTATGACAGCTACAAAGCATCAGATAATTGGAAGTAAGCCTTACAGTTAAAGCATCTGTTGTTCGCTGTGCAGAGATCATTTTAGTAACGTTTAGGAATGCTACATAGGCTGTAATTTTGTACATTTCACATGAACAATGTATGTTCTAATTTCATCAGGCATCTGGTGCCAAGTGTTGTGAACATAACCCAAGCTAACCTGTGAACAATGCTTGTATGTGTACCACTGCTTCTCTTTGGATAGGCCTACTAAAATGTGTATCAGTTTCCTTTGGCAGAGTTAATTGAGCTGCTCCTTTAATTCAATACGATTTCTGCATTTCTGAGGTAAGTTTCTTAGTTCTCTTTCTAATACTACTTTGCAGAGAGAAAGGCAGCAACCCCTATATTTAGCTTGCCCAATGCTTTTGTATATTAAAAAGAATTCTAATGCCTTGAGGGCTTGAAAATTTGGCAGGAGGATAGTCCAAAGTATGTTGGAACTTAGCAAATAGTTCTGTTTATCATGCACAAATAGAAAAAACAATCTTGAACTTATTCAGTCATAGTTGGGATAGGACTAAAAGCAGTCACTGAAGTCAGCATGTTTGACCGAATACACAGGGTGAAACAGATCTGCTGAGTAAGGCAGTGATGCTTTTACACAGGCAGTTTCTGGAGAAGAACTACAAATTTAAAGTGGACAGTTCTAGACATTAACACACATGCTAGGGCCAATTTCAAGTTAATGCCAGGATGAAGAGCTAGGCACTCTGTCCACTCCCATGAGTTTGCCATTAGCATCTCATGCCCTCTCCTCTTCCTCCTCTCCACCCCATCCAGGAATTTGTCATCCATTCTTGCCCCTAGACAGAGCACAGAGGAAGTTAAGCAGAAAAAAGACCTAAAGGGTCCAATCCCACTGCAGTCATTGGCAAGGCTCTCAGACCTCACTGGGAGCAGATCAGGCCTGAAATGCAGAGCCCTGTGCATATTAAGCAGCAGAAAGCTTTCCTGATATTTCACTTTCATCTCAATCTTATTACTTCAGTTATATACTCTCCTACCTCCCCCTTGTAAACACACTAAAGAATTCCTTTCACCATTGATTTTTACATCCTTTAAATAGTTGTAGACCATCTCTTGCCCCCATTTCCTCAATCTCTGCTTAGCCAATAAATAATTATTTAGCTCTTTTAAGTCTTTTCTCATACATCAATCATCCAGCTCCTCAACTCCCTTTTTTCTGCCTATCTTTAAATACCTCATGTGTGTCTACACCTTTCTGATACTGAATTAAACAAAAAAACCTTTTCCCTCCCCAAATATTCAAGAGGCATTCTACTAGAATTATAGAAAGAGTGAAATCCCTGTTTGGTGAGGTGATGCATCTTTATATGCAGACCAACACTTTATAGGCCTTTTTTTTTTTTTTAAACCGTTATGTCACATTGTCAACACGTCTGATTTGCTGTCTGCTATACAACCTAGGTCTTCCAGCATTACTCCTTCCCTGCATTCTCTGTCCCAAATATATGATTGGGATTATTTTTCCACAGAATAATTAGCTTGCTGTCAATTTCTCCCCCCAGTAAATGCAGCGCTTAATTTTGACTCATTAAAGAATTCAGTGAAATTAAGAGTTCTGATTATTTCAGAATAGGAAGGAATGGCAAAGCATGTGCTAGTTATTTGCCACACACAATATTTGGAAATAAACAGGAACGTTCAGTTCCACTGTAACCTGGAAAAGAACTCCTAAATATGACAGAATTAAATAAGATTAGGCATATAAAGCCAGGTATTCTAGCTGTTTAATGTGACTTTAGACACAGAAAAGCAAGAACTGCACACATTTAAAAATGACCCTGCAGTCATGAAGGTAACAGAAAGACTATACAGTCTGGTCTTGTCATCTATGATTCGGCAACGTTCTGTTTTACGGGATTACCGAAGGCATCCTCAGTTCAGTTTCTGCTCCACCTTTGGCAAAAGACCATCTACCTTAAGCAACCAAGATATGTTGGTCAATTTGTACAAATTTCATTGAAATGGTCTTTTTTGTATTAAGGCCTCTCAAGTGCATTAGACAACCCACCTTATGTTCTCTGTTTATGTCAAGCACAACTGAAAGGCATTCCATTCCCCTGGAATTTTTTACTCATATCTTCAGTCTAGGAATGCTGTATGATCCTTCATACCTTCCTTTATGGCCACCAGTTCAACAGCTTATATCCAGTGGGAAAGAACAAACTTTAACTACTATCCTCTAAGGCTTGAGATAATACTGAGAGATCATTTGGTATTAAAAAAGGCCACTCTTTCTATAATGCCAAACATCTCCCTGATGTACCCAAAGAGTGGGAGCCATGTTGTGTTTCTTCTTTTGGGGCTACTGCCTACTCAGCACAGTAATTCTTGGGGGGGAACGATTTGGATAGTAACTTTAATATATAGTGGCATTACATTTTTGCACATATGCTCCAAACAAAAATAGATTTCCACATGGCAGATCATATCAAGCAATTAACACCACTGCAGACAAAGATGGGATTGCAGGTCAGCAGTCACTCCTAAACTCTGCATAATGCCAAACCTCTCCATACCACAAAGAGGATACCATATTTTCTTAAAATATACAGGTCAAACCCTATTATTCAAATCTCTTGTAGGACAGTGGTAACATTCAGAAAACTGGAGTTAAAGATAAACAATTTTTTAACCCAAATCTAGGATTTAGAGGAATATATCCACTTTTCAGATGTGTGGCCTACCTATAGTTACTTTAGCAAAATATAAACACTTTTCCATTTACCTGCAGGCCTCTGCACATGCCTGTCATCAAGGGTTATTGTACCCCTGTTCTTCCAGCTCATTTTTAATGACAATTTTTGTGTTCAGTGTAATACAATATACATTTAAAAGTGCAAGGATATAAGATATCCTGTGGGATCTCTTCCTAGGACTTTTGTAGGTATTCTTTGGAAATCAATTCCATAAAAAATGCATGAGCTAGGCTGCAAAAGGAGTGCTGATCTAGAAACTTTTCTAGCTCCCTGAAATTTTCTTTCACAGATTGTTCAGTAAACAAATACGTGCAATTGAAATATAAAAAAACCTGAAAACAGTAAATATACCAGGTGATTTACAAGGATATTGCATACAGGGGTTATTTAAATCAACAATTTAGTGGTAACAATGTGATTTCAATAAAAAGCTTCAAGAAATTGCTTTGTGGATCATGTCTTGTCATACTATAAGGATTAAATTTAATGTTGCTGATTAACTGAGTTATCTAACTAAATCAAATAATGTTATGTTGAGTGTGTGAAAAAAGACTTAAGTGAAAACTGATATTTTATCAACCTCAATCAGTTATGGAATGGAATAAAATTTCAATATAATTATAATTGTTGAGTAAAACTGCAAGAACTCTGTTGTATAAATATTATTGTAAAAGAAAAACCACACCAGTTCTTAAACATAAACCTAAATAATTCACATCAAAATAATGGATACTCTGTCTCTCAAAGGGATAGCAATTGAGAGAACTCATGTAGGAATGCAGATTGGGTAGTCCTGGTGCTTGTTTACACAGTGGGGCAATGCAAACACTACTGGGTGTGATTTTTAAACAGTGTTAATGTGTTGCACATTAATTCAACTATGTAGACCCTTCTGGTGTGGACTAAAAATTCCCTACTGCACCTTAACGTAGTACTGTTTTGAGCAGCACTACATTAAAGGACATTAGGGAACTTTTAATGTGCATCTGAAGAATCTATGAACCAATTAACGTGCAACACATTAGTGCATATTGCTGCTCCATGTACACAAGCCCTTCAAGCTAGTGTCCACAAAAACAGAACTTAAAATGGAAACAACTAATTATAAACTTCCCGCTGGTTTCTGCTTCTTGCTTTTGCTGTTTACTGAACCTTCCTCAAAAGGAACTTCCACAGAAACCTAAAATTTGTGTGTTAAAGGGGTGATATTCTAGCAAAGGGAATTACAATAGAGCTAACTGTAGCTTGTAGCTAGGGGTAGCCTTATTGGCCAATGTGGTGAGTTTTTTTAGAAGCCTCAGAAAGTGGGCTCATTTTTCCAATGAAAATGTACATTACTTTCATAAGTGCTCATTATTTTATACTGGAAATTAGCAGAATAAGAAGGGTGAAAATTGTCAATTATATAGTGTATTTATACCTTAGGGTGATCTTTTAATGTTATCAAAATTCCTATGGTGGAGCCTGCTTATGTAAATTCTCAAAAGCATACCCTTGTTTAAGAAACTGAGTAATTACATCTTGAAAGAAGTATAGATCTTGTTTTAATTCTTTTAGTTTCATTTACCTTGTACTGGGACTTGCAGTTTTTGTTCCAGAAGGCGACTCCAACCCTTCCCCTGGCTTTGAGGATTTCTCTCTGTTCATTTGTTGTAGTATTGAGTTCAATTCACTAATAACATTAGCCTTTGGGCCTGAGAGAATTGGGCTTTTTACCTCAGTTACATCACCCCATAGCTTGGAGGTCCTTTGCTGTAAAACTTTAGCTGTACTGGGCTGTGCACTGATAGGAGGTGGGGGTGGAGCAGGTGGAGGGATAACAAAGCTATCTACAGTTTCTTCAATTAGAGCATCTTTGTAAAGTGCATTGCTTTTGTTGATTATGGGCTTCATTTTTGGCTTAGGAGGTACTGGGGGTTTGTCCACCAGAAACGTTTGCCCATCTGCATAGACTGTACAGGTATCCAAGTTCTCACCACCTTCAGAGGATAAGGTAGAGATGCTGGACACTGTTGAGATAGTGCTGGTTGTCTCTAAGTGATGGTCACTACTAGATCGACTGTCTACCTCCTCAATCCCAGAGTCAGTGACATGATCAAAACTTTCAGGGGGTGGCAGAAATGAGGCAGGCAAACAGTTTGAAAGACCCACTTGTTTTTTACTGTCTAAAGAATTCGTGGATTGGTTGGGGTTAAATGAAGCAGATGTAGGTGTTCCATTTTTTCTTTGCTTAAGTAAGTCCGTTAGAGCAGAACCTGGAGCTAAACGGTCATCGGGGATATCAAAACTGTTAGCAAATTCTAAGGGAGGAGGTAACGGCTCAGTAAAAATAAATTCTTCATCAATATCAATAGATGCTAAAGGGGGTGGAGGGATGCGAAATGGCAAAATGACAGGGTCATCAACAGAGCTAGCTGCTACAATAGTTTTGCAGGGAGATGCAGGTGGCTCAGGTGTAGCAGATACATTCAACCCACTTTCTGCTTCTTCACTATCTTCTGGCATCTCCGATGGAAAATTGTCTGGATTCATTTCCATTTCAACTCTCTTATCTTCAAGGGTGTCATCAGACTTTGCTGCATCCACAGTATGAACCATTAGTAAACCAGCTGACTTCTGCTGTGAAGTATCCATAATATTTATCAGCATGTTTTTCTTTTCTTCAGGCTTCTTCTCTTTCCCCATATCTGTTTCATATTTGTTTTCAGTCTCCTGCCTTCTCAGTGGGCCACGTGTATTTTGCCTGGTAACAGCAGCAGTCACAGGAAATGTTGTTTCAATATTAGATCTCAGCTTTGTATCAATATAAAGTGGTTTATTAAGGTCTGCTTTACCAGTTTCTCCTTTGCCTGGAGTTTGTTGCGTTTGTTCTTTCATGGCTCTATCTCTTGCAGACAGCGCGAGTGCTAGAGGTGAGTTTGGATCTAATAGCTTTCCTGTGAGTGGATGAACATAATTATCCGAACTGGACACATTAACGGTCTGAGTTGCAACCATATCGTTTTCAGTAACTTTTTTTATGGATGAAGAGTTTAATGTCCTTTCATCACTTTCATTGCTAGGTTCACTGCTATTAAAAAGATTTTCAGATTCTCTAGGTGCAGGAACCGGAGAAGGTGACATAACTTGCCTGAAACTATCTTCATTACTAAACGTGTCCTCATCAGTAAATTTAGATTGCCTCATACGTGGTATTGGGGGCAACAGGCCAACATCCTCATCTCCCAAATCTGTAGAAAGGAAAGCTGGAGAATTACGCCTAGCTTCTAATCTCTTTTCCCTGTCCCTCACTGCTCCAGCAATGGCCGCTGCAAATGGACTACTGACGTTTAAATTATCATCAGGTCTGAGCTGTCCAGGCTGCTCTGAAGACTGAGGGTCAATCTCCATACTGCTTCCTTGGCTACTTTTCCCACTACTGCTGGTAGATGGTTCTTTCACAATAATTGTTGGAATTGGAATAGAACAGGTCTTTTCTGGACTATCCTCAACATTAGACTGTTTCACTAGCATTCCCTTCCGCCTTGCTGGTTTGGCTGGCACGTAAACTGCTTTGCTTGCTATTTTCCCAACTTCAGAATATGGGTTTTCTGGCATCTGACCCCTCTTGTTTCTGAAGTTTGCCTGCAACGCAGCATTCCTACTATACAAGTCCTCAGAATCTAGAGAATAACGGTCCAGTTCTCTTCTGTAATACATCCCTTTGTCCCTCATTATTGTTCCCATATGTTCAGATCTACCTGAAGAAACCTTTGAACCTGAATTCTGATTAAATGCAGGTTTTATTGTTCCATAGCTTCTTGATGTTGGAGATTTGGGAGAGTTATAAAGGGAGGGAGAAGGAGGTGGTGGTGAAGGGGGTAGAGACTGTGGTGGAGGGGGGATATCTTCAGAAGTGTCTGGCATGGACAGACTTCTGGTAAATTTCAACATAGGAGGAGCCAAAAATTGACGTTCTTCCTCTGTTATTCCTAAGAAAATGAATAAAGGGAAAACTTTAAAAATCTGCAGTATAATTAAATACAGTGTTATATTTTTCCACTAAAGATATGACCCTAAGGGAATGTCTACACAGCCCGCAGGAGCGAGCCTCCCAGCCCAGGTCAACAGATTTGGGCTAGCAGGGCTCATGCTACTGCACTAAAAATAGCTGTGTAGACAGCATTTTGAAATTGTGGCTTGGGGTGGAGCGCAGGCTCTGAAGCCCACCCTTCCCCCCTCTGTAAGCTTCAGAGTTAGAGCAACAACTTCAAAGCACTGTTTACACAGCTATTTTTAGAGTACTAGGGTGAACCCTGCTAGCCCAAGTTTGTTGACCTGAGTAGGTAGGCTTGCTTCTGTGGGCTGTATAGACATACCCAAAGATGCTACAGCAATTTTGCATGGCATGGAGCAGATCTGAAATAATAAACCATGGCTGGCTTGTTGATTCCTGCTCATTAAAAGTTCTCTAATTGTTGAATTTCCATAAAGCCATATGGTAGTATTAAAGAGGAGTGAAACAGCAACAAAACCGTTTCAGAGTAGCAGCTGTGTTAGTCTGTATCCGCAAAAAGAAAAGGAGTACTTTTGGCACCTTAGAGTTTCTAAGGTGCCAAAAGTACTCCTTTTCTTAAAGCTGAACTGATTACTGATTGTAGGCAAATGCTTTTGTTTGATGTACCTTCGGAGCCAATATATTACTCTTCAAAAGAAAGTGAAAGTATGAAAAAAAGACAAAAACTACTCAAAGCAACATTAAAGATTCTGTATGAGTGTGAGCTAATTGCATAGAAGGGAATTTTCTCTGAAATGTGTCAAGAAGGCAAGGCATTCTTATACAGAGAAACTGTGTTTCTGACTCTAGCAATCCAGAAACACACAAAGTAATGCTATGCTTACACAGCAAGTACAATATTAAAGCATTTCTGGGAATTTTGCCTGTATTGTTTTAGTAAAAGGAATATAGAGAACCATCAATATTACATAAAAAGTGACATTTTAATTTTGGATAACATATTTCAAATGCAATTAAGTGATGTAGGAGCCTAAGTCCCCTTTTCAAAAGTGTTTTAGGCACTTAGGAACCTCTTAAGTCCCTTAGATGTTTTAGAGAATGTTAACCGCTGATACAGAGGCTCTCAACCTATTTACTATTGTGGGCCACATATGCAGCTCTCTCTGTTATATGGGCCACATCCACACAGTATATACACTACCTTAATGGCCCTGACGGTGTCACATGGGCCACAGCTGTGTGCTGATTGGGCTGCAGGCAGCCCAGAGGTTCAGAACCAAAGCTCTATGTAATAAAAGTAATTTATGATTTTACTCAAAGAGGAAGGCATTTTGTATAAAAGGTGGCTATGCCATAAGACAATATCTGGAAATATTGTGTGTATTTTGCTGAACAGCTTTACACAAGCACAATGCTTATAATTAGTTCAGAAATACCTTGAGTAAAGTAGATCAATTTTAACAGCAAATGCACCAAAAACTAAGTTTTCCCCCCTCCCCCCAATAAAGAAAAAGGATAATTTTGAATTTAAAAAGTGAGCTTATTTTATACATTTGACCAGTAGGATGCATATCACACCTTGCATAGCACATGATGGTATTTTCATGTCAATAAAAAATCTGGATGACTCTTAGCTATAGTTGATTTATGACGATAGATCTTCCTCGATTCTTTTTCTTTGCACTTTCAAAATTCTGGCCTTCCTTGTTAAAGGCAATTTTCCATAGCTATTACAACCCCACAACACTTGCCTAAAGTGATCAAAGCAAAACATGGAAGTTGTACTAGTTTTCAGGCAAACTGATTTGGTTTTTGAGCTTTGAATCAGAACTAATGAGTCAATTAAGTTGAAGAAAAATGGAGTCAAAATGTTTTAAGCAAGAACAGAAGTTAATAAAAGGTGCCAAATGAATGCATGTGTAGAATTTACATGAGAAAAATTTTACCTATAGATTTTTGTCTTCTCATTGTACCCCGAGGTATACCTAGAAAAAGACCTTGAGGAGTCCCAGGTACAGTAGGTGGCATCACAGCAATACCCTGTCTATCGTACATGGACTATGAAACAAAACAAAAACGTTATGTACAAAAGGGCAATGTTAGAGAGAGACACCATAAGAAAAATAATTCATCTCCTGTTCCACATACTACTTTGTTGTTCATCTTAAATAGTCAGTGGTCAAATAAAATTATCTATTCTTCTACCACATTTTAAGGGTAAATTTGAAGGTATAACAAGCAATCACATTTCTGTTTATCTCCCTCCTAAAAACATTGCCACAAACTGCACCGTTGTTCAAGTCACCCTGCACCTACATCTGGGTTCCAATATTTTGACATAGAAGAGAGACCTTAAATTTTCTAGGTGTAGTGTGTTAAATACTCAGAGTTCTAAATCTGCTTATACTACGCGGACGAGTAGCCCCACTGATTTCAAATGAAATTATTTGTGAGACTCAGAATTTGGTCCTAAACTTATATTTTGATTTTATGAAGTTGAAGAGTTTTGACGAGGAAATTATAGTTGAATACCATGGTTTAGCATGATCATCAGGAACAGAACAGAACAGGATCTCAGCATTTCAGAAATAGTGTTTTTATGGAAAGATGTGTGTCTTCTTCAAGTGGTCTCACCATTGAATCAGAAATATTCGAGATCAAGTAGACAGAATTAGTGACAGCAGTTTCCTACCTAGGCTTATTCTGGGCCTAGATGCTTGTAGGGTATTCATTATAGCCAGAGCGGGGAGTGCTGCCAACAGTTAAGGCTACCTGTTTATAACTGCCAACTTTAACCAACTTTTCTGGGATGAACTTTCCTATGCTAGCTGTCTGACTCATTCTGAAATTTTATTTTATTTTTTTTTAAAAGGAAGTTTCAGCTACTACGGTTCAGTTATTTTCAAGAACAAGGATAGGGGAAAACACATAGTTTTGCCCATGTTAAAAAAATGTTCAACTATATAATTAGGAAGCTCCAGGTCCTCCATGTTTGCAGAAGGGACTTGAAATTTGGCAGGGGGACACCCTGGTGTCAGTGATGCACCTTTTGCCGTCTCTCTGAAACTCCACACAAATTTGGCCAAGTTCTCCAAACACTGTAGTTTGCAGATGCTCAGTAGAGACTTGTTAGAGCTTGGCAGTTACTGAACAGTCTTCCATATTTCGTGTGCACTGCCATTCTCCAGGCCAGGGGCTGAGAAGGACTTTCCCTGCAATTGCTCCTTACTGCTGCCTGGGGCCCATTGTGGTGCCGAATATGGAAAATGGGAGCAGGAAAACTATCCTGCAGTCTTAATGCTCCCCCTGCTTGCAGGCAGGCAAGTGATGAGAAGGAAGAAGCTGCTTGACTGGAATGCAGAGGGGGAGGAATAGGGGAAGTGGTGTTACAGGAGCAAGGAGGGGAGGAGCCATGGGACTCCGGTGGGAGGGGGCAGGAGCAGGATGAGTTGGGTGAGTAGGACAGAGCAGGAAGGGGCAAGAAAGAGAGGTTAAGATTTTTAAAATATAATTATGCAATAAATTGACAATTAAAATGGGGAGGGAGCTGGGACAATTAAAAAATAGAGATACATCAGGTGGCTGTTATCAAACAGTTGAAGGAGAGACAGAAAGCCATCTTATTTTCCAGTCAGCGTGGAATACATGCAGATCAACAGAAGAAATTACTCCTTGTAAAATAGATTGTGGGCACATCTCAGAACATGGAATAATCAGTAGTCTTCCCCTTTCTCATTAGTGTTTAGCCCGCTTCTAGGGCACCCCTGATCCTCAAGGGGTAAAGCCCCTTAATTCTTCCCTCCTCTCTCAATGGGCCTGGGTTCTTTGCACTTGGTGCCTTCACCTGGGCTCCAGCCCAGTGCAAAACTAACAGACATTTGGCATTACAATGTATAGTTACAGGGAATCTAGGACCAGACAGACTATAAGGATATACAACATGTTATTCCTTGAAAAGATAGGGGTAAATTGAGGATGGCCTCAAGCCCCAGCTGTCTCCAAGTGCAGGGAAGGCCTAGTGGACTCAGCTGGCAGTCAGCCCTCCAAGGTGCAGTGGAGTCTTAGGGCTCAGTCTCTTCTTTGTGGAGCTGGGTTCTCCAGATCAACCCCCCTAGTTAAGACACACAAAATGGCATCTCCCTCTGTGCTGCCGAGAACAACTCCAGTACTGCTTCCTCTTTAGCTACTGTAACCTGACTCCGGTAATCATTTGTGGTTCACCAAACCCTTGAGGAGGAAGGATAAGGGGCTCTATTATTTTTGGGATCAGGAGGGGGGCTATGTTAGCATGGCAGCTGAACACCTTCCCAAAAAATGATTGTCTGCAACTCACTAAAAGACATTGCTGCTTATCCTAAATCTGTATCCCCCCGATCTGTCTAACAATGTACAGGTTGTCCTCCAAGTGCCTCATAATGGATTTGTGATTTTTATCCTCACAATACGCTTTTGAGGTAGGGAAGTACTATTATCCCTATTTTACAGATGGGGAACTTAAGTAGAGAGATACTAGGGCTCAGATCCACAAAGATATTTCAGCACCTAATTCTCCTTGAGAATCTAGGCTTATCATAGAATCATAGAATCAAAGAATATCAGGGTTGGAAGGGACCCCTGAAGGTCATCTAGTCCAACCCCCTGCTCGAAGCAGGACCAATTCCCAGTTAAATCATCCGGGCCAGGGCTTTGTCAAGCCTGACCTTAAAAACCTCTAAGGAAGGAGATTCTACCACCTCCCTAGGTAACGCATTCCAGTGTTTCACCACCCTCTTAGTGAAAAAGTTTTTCCTAATATCCAATCTAAACCTCCCCCACTGCAACTTGAGACCATTACTTCTCGTTCTGTCATCTGCTACCATTGAGAACTGTCTAGAGCCATCCTCTTTGGAACCCCCTTTCAGGTAGTTGAAAGCAGCTATCAAATCCCCCCTCATTCTTCTCTTCTGCAGGCTAAACAATCCCAGCTCCCTCAGCCTCTCTTCATAAGTCATGTGTTCCAGACCCCTAATCATTTTTGTTGCCCTTCACTGGACTCTCCCCAATTTATCCACATCCTTCTTGTAGTGAGGGGCCCAAAACTGGACACAGTACTCCAGATGAGGCCTCACCAATGTCGAATAGAGGGGAACGATCACGTCCCTCGATCTGCTCGCTATGCCCCTACTTATACATCCCAAAATGCCATTGGCCTTCTTGGCAACAAGGGCACACTGCTGACTCATATCCAGCTTCTCGTCCACTGTCACCCCTAGGTCCTTTTCCGCAGAACTGCTGCCTAGCCATTCGGTCCCTAGTCTGTAGCTGTGCATTGGGTTCTTCCGTCCTAAGTGCAGGACCCTGCACTTATCCTTATTGAACCTCATCAGATTTCTTTTGGCCCAATCCTCCAATTTGTCTAGGTCCTTCTGTATCCTATCCCTCCCCTCCAGCGTATCTACCACTCCTCCCAGTTTAGTATCATCCGCAAATTTGCTGAGAGTGCAATCCACACCATCCTCCAGATCATTTATGAAGATATTGAACAAAACCGGCCCCAGGACCGACCCTTGGGGCACTCCACTTGATACCGGCTGCCAACTAGACATGGAGCCATTGATCACTACCCGTTGAGCCCGACAATCTAGCCAGCTTTCTACCCACCTTATAGTGCATTCATCCAGCCCATACTTCCTTGTGACTTGCCTAAGGTCACATAAGAAGTCTTCGGCTGAATCAGGAACTGAACCATGGTCTCTTAAGTCCCAGTCCAGTGCCCCATCCTTCCTACTTGTAGACGTCACAAACCTACTTATTTTCTACAATACTGCTGATACAATTCTGAACACTCTGGGATTCCTTCCTCTGCAGCTGACAAGAGCGAAGCGTATGAATAAGGATTGGTGCTACTTCACTGGGAAATAAATGCAGCTAGACAGTAGGGAAAAAATATTTTTTCCTCATAAGACTTTACAACCAGTGGAAGCAAACTCAGATTTGAGGGTGTCTACATTTGGAACTGGGAGCGTAATTCCCAGATGAAGGAGAAACACCCAAGCTAGCTCTGATCAAGCTAGTGCTCTAAAAATTGAGCGTGGCCACAAAGGAACAAGCACCCAGAAGCGCTAGCTGCCCCAAGTGTGTGCCTACCGTCTCCGATTGGTATGTACTCGGGGCACCTAGCACTCTATTTTTAAGGCATTAACTCAATCAGCGCTAGTGTGGGTGTCTTTTCTTGAGCTAGTAATTACACGCACTAACTAGCTTTCCAGGATATAGCATTTCAGTCGTTCGTGCTTTTTATAGCATTACTGCTATCTCCTCCCCTTATAAATTACTCAACTTTATCTAGTCAAAACCAAAACAATCAATGTTGTTGGGAGTAAATAAACCCAGTAATGAAACAAGGATTAGGTTTATTGTCAATGACGAAGCTTAGAATGGTGATAAAGAATAATCATAATGATTAACTACATTTATAAACCCCCCATTGCTGGTGTATACATAACAGCATGGCAACTAGTGTGCATAAAAAGACTGGACTTACTAAAGCAGTACTAACTAGAACCACAGCTTCATAAGTGAAAGCAAGAATTTAGGAACCACCACGTACATTTATATCTGTAGCTGAAGGAAAGCATCTACTGGAAGGCCGCGGTTTAATCGTTGCCACTCTTGAGTCCACAGTTACATTGTCTGTAATTCTTGATGGCTTGGAAACTGGTACAATTTCATCCACTTTATCTGTAACATAAAAGTATTCACTAAAATAAATATAATTTGTCCAAAGACTGAAAATCTAAATATTGCAAGGTCAAAGGAAGAGTTTTACTTTTCAAAAAATGCAAAGAAAAAGGGTGGCTTTTTTTTTTTGGCATTTTAACAAGGCAATGCTTGAGCATCAAAAGTCGTGCAAGCCGAGCACTTATTTATTGCTGCTGCGTAACATGCATGCTTTAGTTTTAAGCCTGCATGCATTTAATGTTTACTTAGTGTGACTCGAAAAACAATCCTCTTCTTCAAACCTTCAAAATGTGAAGGGAGAATATCTATATAGAAACGGAAAGAAGACCTTTAGAGATAATGAACCCATAGAGCACTGTTTCACATAGCGATAAGCAGACAGTACTTAGTCACCAGAATTTCAGTGATATTTTGAACAACAAGTACTTCAAAAGTGCTCTTTGTGTCTATTCTTCTTCTCCAGTAATTACTTTCTAATCTATTCATCATGTCAGTCTATTAGACAATATAACTTAGCATTATTGGAAACTGCTCCATGTCTCTCTGTTTAATTAAACTTTAAATATGCTTTATATTAGTTTTGGTTAAAACTATCATATTTGTGGTCAGAAATGGGCCCAATAGGCAAAGTTCCAATCTGGATCAAAACTTTCCCAACACTGGGGAACAGTGGTTCAGAACTGGAATTTTGATTTAGCATGCTATATAGTGATAGAAACCATCTGTGAACATGTGAGATCCCTCAAAGTTCAGGAGTGTTTGGACCCAGGCCCAGCTCCAGTTGTGACTATAAACCAAATGCAGCAGTAATACTATTGAATATATTTAGCACTAATATAACGCCTTAAGTCCAAGGATCTCAAATCACTATGCAATCAACCATAGTCTTACAACTCCCTTATTACAGGTTGGGAAATTGAGGCACAGAGTAATTAAGTTACTTGCCTAAGGCCACTGAGTCATTCAATCTCTGAACTTGGACTAGAATCCAAAACTTATACTCTAACCAATAACCTTCCGCACTGCCCCTTTCACCTTATCTTTTGTTCCTGTGAACTCTCAGACTGCTGACTGGCACTAAATGTACTACCCCCAGGCTGGTAGTCATGCTAAGCTAGGATGGCATTTTTCTTTTTAATTTCTCTAAAGCAATAGGGCACCAGTCACGCAACCTATGTGTATTCTCAGAAAAAATGTACTAGAACCAACTAGAAGTGATTCCTTAGCCTGGTAGCTCCTCTTGTCTCAGGCTTCCACAACTTAAAATTTTTACAAGCCACACCTTACTTTTCAGGAGTTAAGTATGGTATGTCTTTGTATGGTATGGTAAGGTTTGATAATTTAGTTTAGGAGAAAATAAAACTAGCGCATTAGGTTATTACTGACTTAAAAACAGCTAGAAGTGGCACCACTATGCAAAGTATCAAATTTGAGCTTGATCCCTCACTGGAAAAACAGCTACGCTCAGACTCTAGGAGTGTGGTAAGGGACAGGAAGTAGGCAAGAGGAAGAAAGATGGTCTCTCCCTAACCAGCAGCTTTGGCTGGTGCAGAAATGGAAGAATTATATTCAGCCTTCTCTGGTTGGGAAGACACTTGTTTTGGGAGAGGAGACTTTTGGAGCACTGGGTGACAGGGAGAGAGCAGGAGAGGAACAGCTGCTAGAATTATTAAGTTGAACATTGTAGGTGGTTGGCTTACTCGGAAGTGTTACTGTCTGCTTTCCACTGGAATTAGTATTACATTTTTTGTTTGCTTTATTTATTTTCATATAATAGACCATCCAGGGAGAGGAGAAAAAAAACACGCTTAAAACCTTCACAAGCAAATAAAATAAACATTAAAAAAATCACATTCCATATGGTCTTAACAGTAATTCAAACTGTGCACTTTTCAGAAGAAAATACCTGTAACCTTCTGATGGGCAAAAGGTATCAGAAAGCCATGGATTTAGCCTTAAGCATTTGAGCTACACAGAAAAAAATATTGCTAGATTGCAGAATCAAGTTTAGGGGTATCTACCATTGATTGTAACAAGGGCATGGGAATTTCATGTTACATCTCTCCAGCCCTTTATATGATCCTAGAAGACCAAACACTTGTTCTTGGGATCCAGACAGAGGGGTGTTTTGGGGACTGAAGCCCTAGACACCCAAAATCTGTAAATAACAAATATACCATATAAAAACATATTCCCTTTATTTTGAACAGACACATAACCATACACCTATTCAGACAACAAAAAAACTACAGGGAAAGAATGATGAGGCTATGACAGACACTTGAAAAGCATGGAAATATTCATTTAGGGGATGAAACATACATACTCTCCAACTGTACTGATTTTGCAAGACAATACTGGAAGTCAGATCTTAGTATTTGACCTGACCACAATATCAGTTTGTACAGATTTCCTAACAAAATCTGATATTGCTACCACATCAGCTTGTGGGGAACTTTATTCTTTGTGATTTTACAGCTTTAATGTTGTCAGCTCCTCAGTCCTTCTCACCCTATAGCTGCTCCCATTCCAATTGTATTTGGTTCCTTTCCAGTCATAGCTGAGAACAGCTGAAGCAAGTTGGAGTGGGGAGGGAGAAGTTGATATGATTAAGTTGTTTTACAAAAAGAGTCTTTTTAGGGGCTTCTTGCACCTAGCTGTGGTTCCAACTGCAGTACAGGCAGAGTTGCTAATGCTGCCCAACTTGTCCTTTTGCACTGCTGTCTTTGATCAGAGCACAAATGTAGAACAGTAAGATGGCATTTTAAAACTAGAACAAAAATTTTGAAGCTTCCAAAGCAGCTAGGGTGTATGTGGGATGAAGTAAAAGTAATCCAAAATGGCAGCAGCTACATGGCGGGTCCTGCGGAATATACCAGAATCTTAATATATGGCCCCCACATTCCACCACACTTTTAAAGTGACAGCACTATGTAAATAAATACATTTTCATTATAATATTAGATATGTGCTACCTACGTCAAGAGTCAACTGGCCTTTTCTTGACTTCTATGTAATTCCACAATAAACTCATCCAAAAGAAATAAAAAGTAGATATTTAGGACAAATTTTTCAAAGGGCTGTGCCCTTAAAATAGGTTGTTCATGTCCGCAGTAGTAGTGCGCAAGCCATGTTTGGGCCAGTAATGCATTTTCAAAAGGCAGCACACTGGAACACTTTTTGTCAACTTTGCTAGTGGACTTCTCCTCCCCCATCTCCTTTTTTGTGTTTTGACATATTTTTGTAATATGTATTCTTGCACCACTAAGAGGGGCTCTCATATGATGTTACTGGAAATGTATTTATTTATGAGGCTACCTATATAAACAAACAAAATTTAGAAGAGGCACAGATGGGGTGCAAATGAAATGCAGGTGCAAGAATTTACACCTGGCATGAGTGGTGTGTTGGCGGCATGGCCAAGAAAGTGGACCAAAATGGAATTCTTAAAGGGTGAGCGCCCACATGCAGTTGGTCATAGGAGAAATATTTTGAATTAGAAAATGTATCTGCAACATGCCTACACCAGGGGTCAGCCCACACCAGTGACATTTCATCATTAACCCAGTCATTTAGCAAAATGCAGCCACAGGCAAAACAAACTGTTATGAGGAGCAGTTTGTGACTAGTTTGTAGAATAGTAAAATGTTTCCTGCTCACATTTTGACCAACTTCAGTCTCAGAGAAGGGGAAAGGGAAGAGGAGTATCCACTGGCTCAGCAGCCAGAGCACAGCCCAAATGCATCCATAGGACAGGATTTTTAGGCCAAAGATTAACGTTCAACATTTGTCAGAGGAGAAATTCAGTATGCTTGACAATCAAACTCTCCTGAATTTTAATGAAAACTTACATGGGGATCTGGAGAGTCAAACACAGGTGCCATGCTACACCTGTGATAGTTACAGACACCACTGCTCAAGGGGCTCTTGATAACTGGAACCTTTCAGAGGACCACAGAGATATCACAAGTATAAGCCAGTCTGATGCCTCTGCATGCATGCAGCAATTTCTGAGTGCCACTGTATTAAATTTCCCCGAGAGAGGCAGCACCAACAGTCATAAAATAATTGTCTTCCAAAGTGCATTTTCTGTATGTCCTGTGTGCTACTGATCGCACCTATATTCTGCTCAGGGCACCCTCCCCTCAGGAAATTAGATGGCCTAATGGGGCGAGGAGGAGTTCCATTCTATCTGTGTGCAGGTCATTTGTGATGCAAAAGTTTAATCACAGAGGTAGTAGCACAGTGCCCAACAGCATGTCATGACTCTTACATTCTCAGGAGGTCTGGCTGCTAGGTAAGTAGCATTGTTATGTTTAAATTAATATCTGTGATATTACTAGGGATGGTGTCCCCTCAATAATATATTTATTTGTTGAAGAAAATGGTACTTATCCCATAAAGACATGGTGAATGACTCCTGTTCCAAATTCCCTGACTCTCTCAGAGGAAAATTATTATGCTGCCCACCCATCAAGCCACCAGATGCATCGAAGAAGGAACTCTGAAAATGAGAGTCAGGTGCCCAGTGGCACATTATTGTACAGGCCCCACAATATACCATATAATCCTGGCAAGACTGCATATTACACAACATAGCCAAGAGATGTGGATTAGCTCCACCTGAAGGGCTAGAGATTGACCTTGTCAGACCCACAGAGGATAAGAATGATCATGATCCAAAAAGGCACTTCCAGGCTAACCCCAACACCTCAGGCCAGCATGCCAGAAACACCAGGCAAAGACTGATTGAACACAGTTTCTGAGGCTAGTATTGCCAAGACCTGTATACTTACCACCAAGTCCATAATGTTTGCTCAGAGGGGATGGAGGTAATGGAGAAAAAAAACTCAAAAAACAGCTGCCTCAAGAAATGACTTGTATTTGTAAGAAAAGCAATGAATGCCTGGCACAGTGTAAAAAAATGCTCCCATGAGGCTAAAGTGAAAGAACAGAGGCAAATGTTCTTCAAATACCAGCAGCACACATTGTTAACAATGCAAATATAAACTACAAAATGTTAGACTAATCTAGTCAGCCAGAATACAATGTTAGCCAAAATGTAGAAATGGTTGAGTTCTGCCACTCATGGCCTTATGGCTAAGAATTAAAAGGACAGGCACATAAAAAAACCCTAAAAATCCTATCGTTATTGTGATTATTTTTTCTTCCCTCCCCCTTTTGCCTGGCGTGTAGGCATGGGCAACGAGGCCCTCTCAGTTATGGCTCTCTGCAGCCGGCCACTGCGACGAGGCACAGTGGCCTGTGGTGGTTCTCGAGAGACACTTGTTCCTTGATCCCCTGG